CATGACATTGCATATAAGTTGATCGAAGGCAGACATTAACACCGTTGAATTCTGGCTCAGTGATCTGGAGGTAGTGCTTAATCACGAAACCGAAGGTCTTGGATTTGATTACCGGCTGCGAGGTCGCTGGGACTAAATGGCCGTCTATCGCATCCAGGTTTCCAGTGATGGCCTTCCTAAAATCAGTTCGTGATTTTAACACTGAACGTAGTACATTCAACTATGTGAGACTAATTTCTTCACAAAACATTTACTTAGATTTAACAAAATAGTTTTCCATAATCTGTGTTGAACTCTGTCTCAACTGAAACTTAGTTGTCAAAATTAAGAAAATAGTCCCTTCTAGTGTTAAAAATGTTTCAATTATATTGGCTCATTATAATAAATAAATTCCATAAAATGTTCTCTAACTGTAGTACGTTTCGTGAAATTTCAATGAAAATAACAAACAACATATCATTGAATCATCTACTATGTTTTTATACTTTCACTCTTAAAAACATACAGTCTGATACGTTTCGCCATTAATTTTTTAACTTATTCAAACTAGCATCAATTAATTCAGTTTGTTTGCTTTTGTTTTTTTCTGATTAAAAAGAAAGATTTTTTCTTATAACAAACACTATAATTCATTAATTACTTGCTTACGCCTGTTACTCCCGATGGAGCATAGGCCGGCGACCAGCATTCTCCATCCCACTCTGTCCTGGGCCTTTCTTTCCGGTTCTATCCAATTTTTGTTCATTCTTTTCACGTTTGTCTCCATTGCTCTACGTAATGTGTTCTTTGGTCTTCCTCTTTTTCTTCGGCCTTGAGGATTCCATGTGAGGGCTTGCCTTGTGACACAGTTGGGTGCTTTCCTCAATGTGCATCCTGTCCATTTTCAGCGCTTCTTCCTGATTTCTTACTCCGCTGGGATCTAGTTTGTTCTCTTCCATAGTAGGTTGTTACTGACCAGATATATAAAGGTTTTTACATCTTCCAAATCTTCTCCGTCAAGTGTGGTTCGACTGTCGCATGCTATGTTGTATCGGAGAATCTTGCTTTTCCTTTTGTGTATGTTGAAACCTACTGCTGCTGAGGCTGCTGCTATTATAATTCATATCTCTAAATTAAAGAAATTCAAATGGGACAGTAAATATTTCAACACTAATGTTTTCATTACTATTTTTTAAGAGAGTTGTATAATCATGAAACAGTTGACAGATTAACAAAAAATCATGACTTATATGATTAGTTGAATAAGATATTATTTCTCCTCATAAATAAAACTACCCATTAATTATTGATTGATACATCATTTATTCAGATAATAATGTAGGGTCTGATGTGTAAACGTTAAGATTACAATAGACTTTAATAATTAGATATTATGGCGACCTCTCATTCATAAGAAGGAGACAGAATAAGTTTATTTTTAAAATTACTATAGAATGCTAACTTTAATTAAGTAATATTTTCTACAATCAAATTATAGTGCACATCATTTACTTCATAATTCTTGTTATATGTATAGAATCACATTAAAAATTAAATTCACTAATCAAAAAGATCACTCTTGTGTTCACATTCACACTTACATCTGTCGTCTACACCTAAAACAAATTGTGCATTGTTCAACCTTATTTAAACTGAATATTTTAACATGAATAAGTTAATCATAGTGTAATACAAAGATCGAGTGCGAATTCCATTTTCTTTATACTTACTACTTTTTACACCTGTTACTCTTCGTAGAAGAGCATAGGCCGCCGACAAGTATTCTTTATCCAACCGTGTCCTGGACAACTCTTTCCAGTTGTTTCCTGTAGTTATTCATTCTTTTGATATCTACTTCCAATTTATGACATAGTGTGTTACATGGTCTTCCACTTTTCTTTTCCCCTTGAGGATTCTAAGTTAGCGCCTTCCTCGTGGTGCAGTTTGATGATTTTCTCAATAGATGTCCCATCCGCCCCCAAAGTTTTTTTCCCAATGTCCTCTTCAGTTGGAAATTGGTTTCTTCTTTCTAAAAGTAGGCTGTTGCTGAATTTTCTCTATAGATGAACATAAATAGCTGAACAAAAAGTTGTGTTTGTTCAGGATCAACATTGGCTTATAGTAAACGCATAATTACGGGTTTAGATAACTGAAGGAACACTGTAATACCCAGGGTTTATATCGGAACATAGATACGAAATTGTACTGTAGCTGTCTTTCAGTTAATTAAGGCATCAATCGCTAAAAATGAACAACATATAAATCTACTGGATACTTAAGTATACGATGATATGTACAACGATCTTACCCAACGGTGTTGTACAGTGACCCATGACATTGCACATGAGTTGATTGAAGTAGGACATTAATACCGCCGGATGCTGCCTCAGTGTTCAGTTACAAAACCAAAGGTCTTGGAGTCGATTATCTGGTGAGAAGTCGTGAATGCGCACTATTGAGGAGTTTCATACTGGGATTAAACGGCTATCCATCGTTTCCAGGTTTCCAATGATGGCCTTCCTAAAATCAGTTCGTGATTTTAGCGGTGAACATATCACATTATGCACATATCCACAACACTAATAGACATTTATTTATCTTGCTGTTTTCTAGCATTATGAACCATGTACTAATTCGCTTTCGCTTTCCAAGAAAGACAACATTGAACATCGCTATCAATATACTGGTTTTTCAAGGCTAATATAACCACCTAGCTCACGATATAAATATTCTCGTACAGAAACCATAAACAGGTATTACACTTGAATTTATTAAGTAAACTATACCAAGTGTTCAATATACATTTGGGACATTTCTTAAATTGCTGTCGACATCAAGTTTTTAAATGATGAAATTTTCTTTACAAGATAAATATAAATATTACATAACAAGGTGAGTGGTGATGTAATATAAAGTTATTTTGTGAAAAATAGTGTATAATATAAACAAGTGCTTTAAAAAAATTGAATAAAAACTTTGAAGTATACTTCATACTTTATCAAGTTGAACTTGTTTTATTTACAGCATGATTATTACAAAGGTCTGATTTCTCTTTATTTTTAGTGAAAGTGAAACCGCCTACTCTAGGAAAACTTCTGTTGTTAAAAAAACTAAAAGCTATGAGGTTGTGACTATTATTATCAAACATCACAATCAAAATGATGAAGCAGGAAAGTTTTAAACCGTTTAGAATCTTCTGTATTTTGACCTACCTATATTATCACTAAAAAATTACGTACCTTACACTCTGTATTATTTCTACGATTTATTTTTGAAAAGTAAATCAAAATAGAATAGGTATTATGAAGTGTATAGTTGGTACAACCGGGTTTACTTGGGTTAATTTACGAAACATATATGATATATTAACATTATATTCCTCGGAATAGCAGCCTACTTCATCACTAAATAAGAGCATTATGTATGGCTATGGGTGTAATATTTCCATTAGTCGAACGTTTTATTGTAACTATTCTTGTGTTGATCATATTTCTTTTGAAAAATATTTCTCAGTGTCAGTAGTTTTTTTCTTGATATTCATTTTATAAATACAACACTTTCACATGTGACGAAATCCATCTTGATTTGCTTGTAATTGTCCGTTTCATTATTGAATATTCATACTTATAATGTATATGTATGTATATCAAAACCAGACTATCACTCAAATATTGATTCGGATAGTGATTAGTATTGACTGCTTCTTTATAGAGTCGTTGATTCGCACTGTAGGATTTGAATCTAGTACCCAATGTTTCAGACCGTACTGTGTTAGATATCAAGATTAGTGATTTACGATAATCAACCCCTGACCTTTGAATCTGACTCACACGTGATCATACTCCCTACACCGATCTTCAAAGTTGAATTGAATAACTAGTTTGACAATGAAAGCTCCATAAGTTGATGAACAGCATGTTCTTAATTACACGCTAAGTTACTAATAAATGTAGACAATATTGAAATATCTATACAACAAATTCATAAATCATAAAAGACTGGTTAATTTAATCCTGAAAATCAATCACTTAAAAGTCAATACTTTTATTTCATGTCTTCAACGTATAAATATGGTAAGATAATATCATCATACTAAGTCAATATTAACTAAAATAGTTTATTAGTTAAACAGTAAAGAGAATAAATATCTTCCTTACCGGTTGTCTGTAGAAATGAAAACCAAAACAACTGAACTATTTATATTCATAGGAAACTCTACATAGGTATATATATATATATATTCACTGCAAGGCTATTTATTCTTCAAATCAAAACATAGAATGTCAAATAACGGAAGTTGTCATCGGTTAAAACAGAATTTATTCTAATTACTGTATAAATCTTGGAAATGTATGTTACAAAATCAATGCAACTAAGGTCATATGTTTAAACTCCCCTCCCCCCCAAATATTAATCTTGTTTTCTTGTTTTTTGTTGTTGCCACTACATAGATTACAAGTGATTATTGAGAAATTTAAAGTTTTATATTTCATTATCATATGATAACAATTTTAATTAACTTTTAGATGTTTATTATTTTGACTAATGTAGATCTTTTAATGAATTAAGTAATGATAGATTTGACATGAAGTTATTATTCTAGAGATAAAAAAACTTTGTCACAATTGTAGTATTTATTGTTTGTTTTTTTTGTTTCTCAGAAATGAATATTTCACTTACGATTATTAAAAGATATTTTACAAGAACTAAGAATCAACTACAGTTGAATTTCGAACTAATAGTGGTGATAGGTTGACTTAATTATTTCCATTAGTGTCTATATCTATCTATCTATCTATCTATCGATTATTATCATGACTGACCTCTTCATAGCAGGTTATGACTGATGAATGTGGTTTAGAAAAAAATTAAATTAATGTAAAATCTTAGTTATTTAAGTTTAGTAAGTAATCGTTACATCTCATACTTTATCCTAACTAGAATATTATTTTTATAAAAATTTACATATAACTTTAACTAACAAATTAATTCACGCAAAAGTATTACATTTATAACATTAATTCTAATTGTGGTAGATTCCATTGAAATTATCATTTGATATCTAGTTTATCATTAAGATTATCTACTACAAACTATAAACATCAAGTTGGAATCAATTAAAAAGATCAAAATGTATTACTTCAAGGTATGATGTCAGGAAGTAACTACCTATAACAGGAAATGCAAAAAATCGATAACACTAACAATGAAAAAATGTTAGTTTCTCATTTGATTTTTTCCATCAAAATTTTCTATATTTCAATATGTATTATGTTAAATCCGTCGATAAATATATAATATCAGAAGGGGTTTTGGGAGATTTTAGAAATTTCACATATTGAAATCATGAGTCAGTTGAAGATAGACCTCCATGGAAAACCTGAAAGCACTGGACGGCCGTTCTGTCCTAGTATGGGACTCCTCAGCATATAATATCAGCATATATAATATCAGTGTAAATAAGCTTAGTTGTCATTATGGCATAATTCATATTATATGTCATATAATATCATTAAATAGGATGTTGTTATAAACTTGTTTGATAACTAACCGCCCCCCTTAGAATGTTAATATTATATCAATATTACAGAAATATAGTTTATTGAAACCAATCTATGAAGTGTCTAAGGCATATAGTTATGGGCGTTAATGAAAACTCAGAGTACTTTTAGACTGAAATTGCAAAATTGTTACTTATTCAAATTCTATTTCTTAAAATAAACATTATGAAGCTGTCAATAGATATTATGTCATCATATACTATTAAAAACACTGTAACATCATTTTTGTCTATCCTTTGTTTGTTATTTTTTTATTTTATTTTTTGTTTGTTTTAGATTTCAACATTCATAACATAAGACAAACTGTTTTCTGTAATACAAAAAAAAGGATTGAATGTCAAAATGAAACATTTGTCTGATTGGTTACTTTCCGTTCATTTATCACATAAATTTGATTGGTTGATAATTTAGCATGGATTTCTCCTTTAAATACGTAATTACTTCAAAAATACATTCTTTATAAATGTAATATTTAAAATGATGTACAATATATATAACACAATGAAGTTATCTTGTCACATTCTTATTGGAAATGTCTATTTAGAGGCCCTAATGAACCGTTGATCAAGTTTACGTTTTTATAAAAAAAAAACGATACAATCTCTAAATTAGTAATTAACTAATTTATATTTATAGTGATCACATAACATTTAGCATAATTTCAAATTAATAATTTGATTAATTATTAAATAGTATTAGTTTAATTTTGACAAATGAATGCAGATTACGTTTGGAAATTATCCAAATTTGGTCGTCTTACATCAACTCGTTTAAGATCTGATGATGATTTTGCCGATCGATTAAATTATCAATTTACTGGACTATTATTATTTGTATTCATTGGAATTATAGGTATACGACAGTATGTTGGTAAGATGATATGTTTTCCATTTTTCTATATATATTTATAAGTTGATTGCGTTGTTTTGTTTTTACTAGCTTTGTCAGCTGAGTTAAAACAGATGTTCTAAGTGAAATAGATTTTAATGTGAAATATTTTTATATGGCATTATGAAATAAGATATAAGTAATCAACAACATACCTATCCGAATCTTTGTACAGTATGAAATAGAATGAATGATTGTTAATGATAATAAAGAGGTTACATTTTGTTAATAGCAGTATTTTATTTACAAATTGTAACATAAAGCTTTATGGAACGTTAACTTATTTTCTACGTATTAGTTGTGAGAATTTGCTGATACTGTACAAATACAACTATCACAAATTATTTTTCACAGTTCAACTTTATTTTTCATATGCAACTAAGTTCACAAGTATTAGATTACTGAGTTCTAACATAATATTCAGATAGATGATAGACTAAACATGGTATTTATTAGGAAATGGTGAAGTAATATCAATGTCATCCTGTGAAATAAAGAAAATAATTACTGGCTTTTTTAGATGGATAGTTGAATGTTTTGGCAACTATTTAAGTTGTCATTATTCAAATAGATTATGAGGAGAGTTAAGCGCTATTAGCGTGCGAACGCACAGTATTTAGTTTGTTAAGATTGTTTCTGAACTGTCATTATTAATAGTACTAACTTGATCACATACATGTTTTGTATAGAATTGCCACTTTGTTGACATATCTAGTTGGTCATCTACCTCTTAAATTCCGATATATTTTCTTATTTTGTCTTGTCTCAGTTCGATAACTCACCAGTTAGGACATATAATTCCGAACTCCTAGATATAATGTGTGCACACTGTTTCATTTGCTTTAGTTTGAATAGCCACGTAGCATCACTGAAATAAAGCATCTGAGATAAATAGTAATGTTTGAACAGAGTTATGCAAAGGTATACTTGTTAAGTGACCAAGATTACTTAATTGACATTGATAATTCGTTCTGTTTTGATAAATCTTAAATGTATACTTTCTTTTGGACAACATGAGTAGGCTACAAAACTATGTTTCTTATTCAATTGTTTTAAAGTAACAACACATAGTCTCTTTAAACCCATCAAGACAAACAGAAATACTTTCGCAGCAATATCACTCAAACATTTTACATTTGTCATATTCGTCTCTCAATTAGTGAAAAAATGTTTTGTAAAACTTTCAGCTAAACTTCTTAAAATGTTACTAGAAAATCCAATGAATTAATCGTCAATTTAAACAACTTTACAAAATATCACAGAAACAAACTTCTCGGTTGTCAAATTAATCATTGAAACTTATGTTAACTAGTCATTTATTTGATACTTCATTTATATGATTTCAAATACACAAATACATAAAATGTAGTTTTGTTATTGAATCTTTGAAATTACATTTATTATTGTTTCATAATATTCTATATTTCTTTTTCGTTAAATGGTTGGTTGATATAGCTACTGTGATTAGTAGAAAACAATAAAAGTCAACTTTCCAAGAACGCTTAATTAATTTAAATTAATAGGCTGAATTTATATTTGTTATACAAACGTGACCATATCTGTTTAATTTATGTGTATGTTTGTGTTCATGTTCTTTATTACAATTAAATATTTAAAAAAAATGTTTGACTCTTCCAGATTTTGACATTAAAATATTTCTAGTTAATATAAAATACAAACTTTTATAACATCAGTGAATCTAGAATTGACTAATGATAATGTATATGAAATGATAAAGAATACATAACTGAATGAGAAGTAGATGTTGATTATTTTATCCAGAAGGACAATCAAAGCTTAACGACTAAACCAACTTGCTCAAATAATACAATACCTCTAACAACATATCATGTATACATGATTGTAATTTTTAAAAATCCCCATTGTCAACAATGTTTCTTTAAATGACATGATGACTTTAAGATTATTATCAAGTTAGTTCACAAAAAAGGAGATTTAATCTATTAGTGTTCATAGAAAATAGTTTACTGATAACAAAATTTCAATAGTTGAGGTCATGGGTCATTTGAAGCTAGTCCACCATGGAACAATTGGAAGCGCTGGACGGCCGCTTTGTCCTATTGTGGGACTCTTTAGCAGTGCGCGTCCACGATCCCGCCTTGCGAGATTCCAACTCAGGATCCATCAGAGAGCTTAACCACCAGTCCATTGAGCTAGAATCCATCGGTGTTAATTACTGACTTCGACTAAGCCACGAAATTGAGCGACACATACACCATTGTCATTAGTGAGTTACTATCTTACAACAGACCCGGTTGAGCTCCACTGGTCATTGCTTCTCACTAGGTTTTCCATAGTGGTTTAGCTTCAATTGACTCATGATCTCAAATATAGAAATTACTACAATCTCTATAAAACCCCCTTTAGCGACAAAATATTTACACTGATTTGTTGTTGGAATGAACTAAAATAATTGAGCTAGCCAAACTGTTCGTACTATGGGATATTTCAGAATGAACGTAAATGTTAAATACGTTTGGTAATTCTTTTTTCTTTTCCATCAGATTAATTAAAATAAACTTTAAGAAGTGTAAATTATTTTTAACATCATTTTATTTTATCAAAAGGAGTTTTGTAGATATTATAATAATTTTAATAGTTGAGATCACAATAGAGCAAGATTTTTGTATATCATGTGATCCTATTTGACCTTTAGAATTCATTTGTTCCTGCAGCTATTTGGGTATATGTTCCGCCACCCTTATTTACTTGTTCGTTATAAATAAGGAAGGATCATGTAAAACCATCTAGACGTTTTAAAGAATTTAATTGTTAAATTCATGAGTCAATTGAAGCTAGATCAAAATGGAAAATATAGGACCACTGGACAGCCGTTTCGTCCTAGTATGGGACTCCTCAGCGGTGCTTCCAGGTTTTTCTTGGTGGTTTAACTTTAATTGACTCATGATCTCAACTACTTGTTTACCAGTTTCTCCAGCTTAAATTTAATAGAAAATAATGATTTTTTTGCCTTAGTGTCTATCTTATATGCTTAGAAAGACAATAAAATAGTAATCAATATTTCTTCGAATCATCTTAACTAACAGATTGGTCATAAAAAACAATATTTCTCTTCAAATAAAGTGATATGTAAATTTGAAAACAAAGTTACTATTTAAACAAACGAATGTTTTTTATTATTTTTTCTCTATTTAATTATTATTATTATTTTTTTGTTACTGATGTTCATTGTGTAAAATTATGGGGACATTTTCAAGTGAAACAAAATATTGTTTTTTTTCCCTAAAGAAAGTTTTATGAATTCGTAAATTTTAGCGTTTCATGATAGATAAACAAGTTAAAATAGACTGTTACTATCCTCAGTTTTCGTTTTGTTTTTCAAAGGTGTACATAAAGTTCATTGTTGTTTTAATGTACAGAAATCAATTATTCTTTTTTTCTTCTCCATTATATTTACATAAATTGACTTGTATATATATATATATATATATATATATATATATATAGGCTTTAAAATACCACCGCTACTAAAATGTTCTACCATTAAATTTATTATGGAAGAAATTAAGTTCTCAATAGATATTATCCATGTATTTGGATATATGAAGCCATACACAGTAAATATTGATTTTAGCGGTATAAGTATTAGTGATTGTAAAGGCAAAAACTATGATATTTGTTTGATAAGACGGTGGATGGAGGACCTAGGTTTCGTGCTACCCGGCACTCGTCAGCAAGATGTACGTGTAATATTGAGGGAACCGATGCTCTCTGACGTATTCAATCACGTGTCACACAATTTGACAGTAAGAGATGTTACTACTGAGCAATCCGGGCCTGGACTGACCTCCTGTAGGACTGAGATGTATTTACAATTGATTGATCACTGAGTGGTGATCAATGTCATGTATATCGAGTTCTTCTTAGTGCGGATTGAATCCTATCGACCAAGTTGCAATTTGGTTTGTATAACTAGTAGTTTATTCAATAGTAAACATTTAGTGAAAGTAAGTAATTCTCAGCATACTACATGTATCGTTTTAAGGAAATGAAGCACGGTGAAAAATTGAAAACTTCTTTGTTCTTTTAGATTTAGATTCTTTAGAATACCTTCAGCAAGACAAGAAAACACTCATTTTTTCTGTTCTTGCAATATACCTACCTTCGATAGTACATTCATATTAGTAAAGACAGTCGAATATAGGGCATGATGGATAGATATCGATCTTTGTTTGAGCTATTAAACATCATGTTGTATATTTTGGGATCAATTTTGCTACAGTAAAATGTTTGGTTTAAAACTCCTTTGAAATTTTGATGAATTTTAATGAGTTTAACTCCTATGTATTGGTATTTCTAAGTCCTCCATATTTTCGTAATTATATGAAAGAAAAATTATCTTACATAATATAGAATTGTAACATTAATGTATTTGTAAAAACTTATGTAAAAGCTTCAATTATTAACCTTATCTATATACCAAACAACCTATATTTTGCTCATGGAAAATTTGTTTCTAAAATCACCAACAATGTCAATAAATCGGAACTTTCGTCTAGATTTGAACGAATAGTTTCACAATATTTGGGCGCCGAGTTAATGTGAGACATTAAAAAGAAGAACAATGTCAATAGTTCTAAATGACTAAACTTATTAACTTGTATACAACTGAAGAGGAAGTAAGAAATTACAGTGAATTCATTATTTTCTGCAAATATTGTCATTCTAAATTTCTCTGAATTTGTGAAGAAAACGAATTGCGTGAAATATCTATTTGAGAATCATTCAAAATTGTATTTAGTCTAAAGTATATTCAGCAAATAATTTTATTTATAAATTGTCGATTCAAATCCCGTAGTTGTAGAGGTAGTAAAAGTATAAGCAGTAATCGAAATGATTAGGGTTTGAAGACGTTATTCAAGAAGTGTAATCCAGTGAACTAAATTTGGAAAGAGAAGAAAAGGAACATGGAGAATTTAGAAGACTAGAATTTGGGAGAA